GGTTCGTATATGTGCCTGAATATTCAATTGTTTTTAAATTAGCTTGACACGACTAGCTCGGGACATATATAGGATAGCATTAGATACACCTCTTGAACGATGACGCTATGAGGCATATGAACATTGTTGTCCTCAAACGACGACGAAACCATATCCCATATATCTAGAAAATGCACTCCAATACCGCCAAACACCCGACGTATCATTCTGTTCATGTCATAGAAGACCCAGTTGGCACTGTGTATAGTTTGTTCGATAAATACGTTATTATCACGTGGATGCGCAAGTTTGATTACAATTTTTGAAGTGGGACACCTTAACATTAGACGCTGAACAGCCAATTTTGCATGATATATTCTTTCTAAGAATGCTCGGTTTGTGAAAGCACCATAATGAAATGCAAAATTTAAAACGATTACATAGTTTTCTGTAGAACAATTATTTTGAGAAATCCTATCCAGTAAATCACTCTCTAAAACACCTGTTTTAAATTCAACTACAATATTTCCAGTTCTTGGGTACACGAATTGAAAGACAATATCATTGATATCAAAAACTGTTTTTATAGCTTTTCGTATTTGCTTTATTGTGGAATCACCACAAAGAATGAGTTGTTTATCACCTAGACATATGGCTGCCTGTTGTTTCGTCCACTGCTGACTTCTGCATACAAGAGGCACAAATACAGATCTGTTCTTCCAATAACCATCGCTTAATGGAATAGGTAAATCTGCAGTACATGGCGCCAGGGCTTCTAGTGATGGCAATTCATCTGTTATAATGAAAAATACCAATGTTTTTTTTTATTTGTTTATTGGCAATGCATTAAACCACATTTGATGCGTACTTTATTGTTCGCCAATTTAAATAATTACATAATGTCACATTAGATCATACCTTTAATCTGTAATTTCATCGGCGTTCCATTCAGTTGTGGCTTTCGAAAGTTTCTGTGCAATTATAAGAAAAAAATATTGATATCAACCGATAATATTTATACAATGCACATAAACACATCATATTCATGTGATTGAAGAAAAATTATGTCAGTTGATAATCCTCTTACAATGTCCTCAACGTTATTGCAGTAAAAGTTACATTGAAAATATACATAAGTATACGACATGATTTAGTTTTAAGGGTACATTTACACAGTTTTCAATAAACACATCGCATTATATATGTTACTTCCAATGAAATAAAGACGTGTGGTTCCATTGTGTGTAACAGTTAGCATCTGCATGGATTGTTCTAAAGTGTACTTATATTCATAGAACTGCAAGTTAGAAGTTTAGTGTTCATTGCAGCGTAAGATAAAATTGTTAATTAATTTCTAAGTCTACAAATAATGTACTATATACCTCCATGTGTTTACGATTTTATTTTCCACAAAGGCCCTGTTAGTTAATGACAGCGAGTTCACATCACAAGGCTGATCATATTATTTATAATGTTATTAATATTTTGAAAAAGTATCATACATTTAAGATTCCGCTTCATTATTGAGTTTTTCCTACCATTTATATTTTGTGGCTATTATAGCGAATGTCGGGAAACATACTAAATATAATGTTTGTGTTTTATCTCTATACGACGAGTTGTATATGCTTTAAAACGCTTAGCATTATCTTGCTATTCTATCAGCAAA